CGATGCTGGGCCAATTGTGCACCGCCCTATGGGACTCCCGGTCACAGCCGGTTGTGACACAGCCTGGGATCGAACCCAGGTCTGTAGTGAAGCCTCAAGCACTGCAATGCAGTGCTTTAGACCGCTGCGCCACTCGGGAGGCCCAGGTAAACGTGTCATGTGACTCACTGAGAGGCATCTGGTGGATGAAGCGGAAGTGACACTCCATCATCTTAGTCTGGATCAGCTCAGTGGGAGGGTCCTCTGTTATCCAATGGAAACGATCTGTTCGTACCGTGTCTCTGAATAGAGCCGGGTGATTGGTGGTCGGACCCTGATGTTAGGGAGTTTAGAATCAAGAATCCAATTGAGAATCAACAGCAAATAACAGCAAGGAGGTGGGAGATCTGCCTCATAGCCTGTACTGTAGTTAGGCCAGATGTTTAGGACTAAATTAGCTATAACAGTATTGAAGAGGTAGAAACCATTCCTTACCACATACACTTCTCCAGTAGTGATGTCTTTGTCCACAACAAACCATGCGTCCCTCTGCCCACCAATCCTAGCCCTTTGGCCTAGTGTCAGGGTGAACCAACCTGAGAGGAAGAGGAGGAAGAACAGGCAGAGAACCAGTCGTTAATGTAAAGGTTTACCATTGGAAGAGCAGTACTCTTATAAGGATAGTGGGATAAGCAGTAACATAGAAGATACCACTGAGGATATCACACAGCATTCCCTTATGTTCACCCATGATCTTCCCATCCTCAATGGAGACAAAGTTCCCCGGTTTCGGCTCTAAATACTGACAGAAAAACAGCAATGCAGATATTGTTATTACACACAAACATGTTTATTCATTACTATGGCCAGTGTATCTCAATAATTAACTTGATACAGTACCGTACATGTTGTGTATGTATTTGAATTCCATACCTCTAGAATGAAATCCTCAAAGTTCCTCTCTCCAATAAAGCAGATGCCCATACTCTGGAAACAGATAATGATATTCAGTGTTCCCACACTGTCCACAAAAAAATACAATTGACTTTGTAAAATAGATTGCTCTATGTCAATACAGTGTAATTACAACAACACAACACAATGCAATTCAATTATGTTAAGCTTTGGTAATCTGTAGGCAGCTCAGAGAGGAGAGATGATCAATACTTTATCTACACTCCCGTCCGTATGCATTTGGACAGCAAAGCAAACATTTAAAATTTTGCTCTATACTCCAGCATTTTGGATTTGAGACCAAATGTTTCATATGAGGTGAAAGTACAGAATGTCACCTTTTATTTGAGGGTATTTCCATAAATATCTGTTTTACCGTTGAGAAATGAAAGCACTAGTCCCCACCCCCATGTGTAGAAGTCATAAGTATTTGGACAAATTCACTTATAGTGTATCAACAACAGGGGATGTTAGCATTTTTGGGGCAGTATGATCTTTATTCATGATTTTGGGGGTATGATCATCATTATTTATTAATGATTATCCGTAATCAGACCAGGCACCACACCCTAATAGGCTATATTCCCCCTTTACTCATATCAGAATGAAACTTTACCAGTTGAAAGTATACAGTGGGGAGAACAAGTATTTGATACACTGCCAATTTTGCAGGTTTTCCTACTTACAAAGCATGTAGAGGTCTGTAATTTTTATCATAGGTACACTTCAACTGTGAGAGACGGAATCCAAAATCCAGAAAATCACATTGTATGATTTTTAAGTAATTAATTTGCATTTTATAGATTCCGTCTCTCACAGTTGAAGTGTACCTATGATAAAAATAAACCACCATAATTTGCAAATAAATTCATTAAAAATCCTACAATGTGATTTTCTTGATTTTTTTTTCTCATTTTGTCTGTCATAGTTGACGTGTACGTATGATGAAAATTACAGGCCTCTCTCATCTTTTTAAGTGGAAGAACTTGCACAATTGGTGGCTGACTAAATACTTTTTTCCCCCACTGTACATAGGACAGTGTATCTGTCTGTCTGTTTGGTTAGTTACCTCTTTCTTCTTCAGGACGTGTTGGATGCCGGCCTCGGCTGCAATCTTCTTCACGTAGTCTTTGGTGAGTCCCGACAGGGGAAAGACTGTATGCCGCAAAGAATCCTGCGACATCTGGCTGAGGAAGAATGTCTGGTCCTTAAAGCGGTCCGCTCCTTGGTACAACCTCACCGCTTCAACGGAGTTAAAAAAGGGTTAAAAATCTGAGACACCAATCCAATGACAGTCCTATAATATAGGTCCCTATATCAAATATAACCAATGGTTGTACTCATTCAAGTTCCCAGAATTTCTCTACACATATCAAATGTCTACAGACTTACAAATAAAAGCATTTCACATTTGAATTTCGGTACCCTAGTTCGGTACCCTGGACCGTTTTTGGTCTCCGTTTTTGATTTCACAAGACCTGAAAATAACTGTTTCAGGGCGCACATTCTACATGACGTTAGCGAGCTAACTTCTTTACAGCGGTCAAAAAAGTTCCATGCGACTCACGCTGCCGCGTCACAATACTTGGTACTCTGATCCTGGATCTTGGACCCGCTACTCACACAGGTCCAGGATTAGTTTCAGCCAGGGTTCATTTGCGTTTCACACATGCTTTATAAAGCGGATCAGGGTACCAAACGCTCCAGGATCTGGATCATAAGGGGATATGTGAAAGCGCCCAAAGTCTACGTATTATTATAAAGAGGTAAGATTGACATGATAATAATAACAACACATTGGTATGAGAAAAGCACAGAAAGAGGTTGAGAGGAGTTTGTTGTTCTTACGGTTCCTGATCTCAAAGCGGTCTCTGAAGACATGTTGAGGGGGAGGAGCCACGTGTCTCTGTTGGAAGAGTCCTGAGATGTCCTGGCATAGTGACCTGTCGCCATGGCATCAGCACCTAGGGGGAAATCAGCAACAACCCAATATTTGCTTTTTTTAGTACAAGCTCAGTTTCTTTAATGGTCCTTGAAGTTCTTAGCATACTTGGATATTTTTATAATATAATACTAAGCATACTAATAATACTGAACATTATTATTAGGCTACATACCCAAGCTGTTGATGGCATAACTGTAGAAGTGGTTGAATTTGATGTATTTATTGCACAGAATGTCTGGATTTGGTGTCCTGCCCTTCTCATATTCCTTCAAAAGATTGCTGAAGAAAGGAGACAGTGGTCAGACATTGAGAGAGAACAATCTGGGGTATATTCATTTCAGGTCCCTCCCCATTTCTGTTTGGTTCTTAAACGGTAAACGGTTTACTTTGCAAGACAATGAACACACCCCAAATCTAGCCTTGTGACACCAGCCTAATCTCGCGATAACTCACATATTTCAATTAGGGTGAGTGCAATCATTTAATTAACGAGGTTACCTACGTGAACACTTCGTGCCAGTACTCTTTGACGTAGGATACTTGATGGAAGGGTATGTCCAGATTCTGGCACACTTTGTAGGCATCTTCACAGTCCCTTTCGGAGGAACACACCCCCTTCTCATCCAGGGAATCCCAGTTCTTCATAAACACTCCAGTAACGTGGTACCCTGTCAATAAAACAAATCATTGGGAAGACGTTATACTTACAGTAAACAAGTAACATTATATATAAAATAATAACACAAATATTCCGTTTACTCATTTAAAAAATCTTAGGTTTACTTGTATCGTCTCAAGGAGTTTTTAGCTAGCTAGCTAATGTTGAGTGCTCCAGTGAAGGAATGTCTCACCTCTTCTTCTGAGTAACAAAGCCGTTACAGAGCTGTCAACTCCCCCAGACATCGCGCACACGATATGTCTCACAACACCCATGATTTTCACAACTATTTGCCACGAAAATATGTTTTAAATTGTCTAATTCAGGTTACAACTTCACTTTTTCAGATAGACGCGACCATTTCTTCGGTCCGTCTCAAAACAATGTCCGACTAGAAACAAGTCGCGTTGGCTTTACCTTCAGCTGTTGTTTACTTGTGTTGTGTTGCGGGGTGCCAGAATAACTGTAACACTGTGTAAACATAACGGAGCTGTTGAAATTCTGCTCCGTAAATTGAGTAAAAATCGTGAAAATCCATACATTTGCATATTTTTCGAAAGTATCAAGGTACGTGGACTAGTATTATACAACTGTGTCTCTGATTATATTGACTGCTACAACAGGAAAGGTGGAATATATTGTACAAATGTGTACATCTGTAGTAACAGTTCCACAATGTCAATGGTGAGATAATTTTGTGTTACGTAATTTCATTAAACTCGTTTTGCAAGTATTAACAGAGCAGAAGAATTCAACAAAATATAATGTTTATTTTGGTGGAAAGGAGCTAAGCAAGTCATATAAGGATAATCCTCCTCACGAAGTCTATGCAAATGAATGTTTTTAGGATAATCCCACCAAAGACTGTTTCGAACCTCTTTGATACAACTCTGTGGTTGTCTTCCAGCATGGTGGACGTGCCAGTATCAGCGAAAGCCATCACTTTGGATCTGCTAAGAGATGCCAGAGAGACAGTGAGGACCAGTCCTTTGGGAGTCATCAACACTCCTATGATCCCATGGTGCCAAACAACACTACCGCTCAACATCCCCTGTAACATCCACATCAAACTGGAGAACATGCAGAGAACTGGTGAGTTTGTGTATGAATTAAATGCCTTAGTCAGGCACATTTACATTACTACTGTATAAGTTTCAATTAATAATGTAGGCTGTTTTGTAATAGATATATTGATGGACATTGTTGATGTTGGACATTGAGAGTGATACAATAACAGCAGTTTCTGTCATTGTGTTAATTGCCAGGTTCGTTTAAGGTAAGAGGAGTGGCCAACCAGTTCGCCAGGAGACCAAAAGGAGCCCATTTTGTCACCATGTCTGCAGGGAACTATGGGAAGTCTTTTGCGTATGCCTCTAAACACTACGGCTCCAAGGGGAAAGTGGTGATGCCAGAGACAGCCCTTGTATCCAGATCTACACTCATACAAGTAAGGTTCTTGTTTCCAATTGACTGCTTCAGTCTTTAATTGTATCATCTAAAATTACACATCTGAAAATAACCAAACATATCAGTGAGTTGTTGAGTACAATTGCTGTGCACCCGCTCCAGAATTTTGGATGTGAGGTGGAACGGGTGCCTACGACCTGTCTGATGAACGTGGTGAATCGTTGTGTCCAGGAGGAAAACATGACGTTCCTCCACTCATACGATGACCTGGACCTGATTGCAGGACATGCCAGGTACAGAACAGCTGAACAAGGCAACACAACCAGCTTTATGCGGGCCTTTTCCCTCTTTTTGAGGGAAAATAAAATGCTGGTCTGTCTCTCGCTGTCTGTCTCTGTCACTCCCCCCCCCCACCCCCCTACCCTTGCCCCCTCTCTCTCTCCCCCTCTCTCTCTGTGCTGTAGTCTAGGTTTTGAGGTGCTGGAGGTGATGCCCCAGCCTGATGTAGTGGTGGTGTGCTGTGGAGGAGGAGGTCTACTGGCTGGGGTGGCCGCTGCCATCAAACTGGCCGGCTGCGAGAAGACAAGGATCTATGGAGTAGAGCCAGAAGGAGGTACATAACACCTGTTGGTTAAACCTCACCAAGACAATATCAGGCAGGGCTTTTTACAACTACGATACACCACTAACGGATGTACATGAACATACACATGGGGCAATATACTGAAGGGTTGATATACAGTATGACCATTTTGTTGACCTTATTTTCCTGTCTTTGATTCATTAGCCTGCACCATGTACAAAAGTTTCATCGAGAAGAAGCCTGTCAGCATGGACACCAAGAGCATTGCGTCAGGACTGGCGCCACCTTTTGCAGGTACAGTACACCTCAGAGAAGTAGATTGGCTAGACTTAAATAAATCCTAAAAGATCAGGACATAAGAGGGAACAACTTTGTCTTCATCTGGAATGAACCATAGCCAAGCAAACAAATCTGTGAAATGTACCTTCTTTACCTGTGCTAACTCCCTGATGTGTTTTGTACCATAAGGCACAAACATCTACCATTGCTAACTGCCTGGTGTGTTGTGTCCCTCCCAGGCACCCTGCCCTATGAGCTGTGCCAGCTTTACGTTGAGGAGATCGTACTGGTGAACGATGAGGAGATCAAGGCTGCCGTGTCGACCCTGTACAGGGCGGGGCTCCTGGTGGAACCGTCGGGGTCCGCGGCGTTCGCAGCCATCGCTAACGACAGAATCCCTGACATTGCTGGGAGGAACGTGGTGGTCATCCTCAGTGGAGGAAACATTGGCAAAGACGAGCTCACTAACTTCCCTGATTGAATGTCTAGTTACTTACTTGCTTAGGTCTTTTTCTACTCATGGAGCATAGGCCACTGACAACAGTTTTCCAGCGTATTTAGTCCTGGGTGATTTGTTCAAGTTCTCCTCATGTGTTGCCCCATTGAATGTTTACAGTTATTATTACAGTGACTACTACAGAGAATAAATAATGATTATTCCAACCAGTCTGAATTAGGAGAAATTATGCATTATTATTTTACTACATTGACTATTACAGAGAAGAAATAATGACCATCGCTCTAACCAGCTAAAGTTAGGGGCAAATCATGTATTATTTTTCTCAATAATAATTGTTATACTGTGATATTATCTTTTTGCAAATAAACTATGCAATGTATTCAATATCAGGAACATATGCTGTGTTTGATCATTGAAATGTCAACAACTCCCACAACTGTGCTCTTTGTTCAACTGAAAGACATACATTATACATCGTCCTCTACAAGGAGAACAAAGACACCATGGAAGCCATCAACGTGCTCTCGAAATTCCTCAGGATGAGGCCCAATGTGTTCTCCTACATGGGGACCAAGGACAAGAGAGCCATCACTGTGCAGGAGATTGCAGTTCTCAAGGTCACAGCAGAAAGACTGTCTCACCTCAACAAGTGCCTCAATAACTTCAAACTGGGAAACTTCTGCTACAAGAAACACCCTCTGAAACTGGGAGAACTACAGGGCAATCACTGTGGTCATCAGGAGCATCACAGGGACAGAGGAGCAGGTCCAGCAGGCCATGACCTCCCTTAGAGAGACAGGCTTCATCAACTACTACGGCATGCAGCGCTTTGGCACCACCGCCGTGCCCAAACACCAAGTTGGCAAGGCCATCTTGCAAGACAACTGGAATTAAGTGATAGATCTGATCCTGAAGACTCGCCCTGGAGCGGAGAAAGGTTACCTGGTGAAGTGCCGTGAGGAGTGGGCCCAGTCCCAGGACCCAGAAGCAGCGCTGAAGAAGCTGTCTGTTAAACACTGTGTGGAGGGACAGCTGCTCCGAGGTCTCTCCATGTACGTCAAGAAGAACATCATCACTGCCTTTGCAATGATCCCTCGTAACAACCGGCTGATGTACATCCACAGCTACCAGAGCTTTATGTGGAACACCATGGTCAGCAGACGCATTGAGGCCTTCGGAGTGAAGGCTGTGGAGGGAGACCTCGTTCTCAGGGAAGGCACTGCATTCGTGCTGTCCGCAGCCGAGGCCGAGACCCACTCTATCCAAGACGTGATGATGCCCCTACCAGGGTTTGAAGTCATCTACCCCACTCACCATGTGGGTAAGGGCTACAGGGAGATGCTGAGTGCAGATAACCTGGACATTGACAACATGAGGCACAGGGTGAGGGACTACTCTCTGGCCGGAGCCTACCGACGTATCCTCATCAAACCCAGTGACGTCAGCTGGGAGGTGATTAACTATGAGGACCCTCGTGTCTCCCTGGTCCACACTGATGTGGAGAAACTAGAGGACCAACCTCCCCCAGTCTTCAACAAAGAGGGGAAGTACAGGGCTCTGAGGATGGAGTTCTCCCTGCCTCCCTCTACCTACGCCACCATGGCCATCAGAGAGGTGCTCAAGATGGACACCAGCATCAAGAACCAGACTCAGCTCAACACCACCTGGCTCAACTAATACAACACAACAGAACTGGGCCCACTGGGCTGCTTTTCCAGGCTGCAGAGCAGTCTGTCCTTTAGTGGGTGTCTACTTACTGTATGTGAGACTAACAGTCTATTGTGTGTGTGTGGGAGTGTTTTGATACTTTGCCAAGCTAAAGGTCATTCCTCTCAAGGTGTGTCAGTCAGGGTGATGGGAAATCTTACCTCATCCTACACAACCAAGAGCAACAACTCTGATATTATGTTGTTACTACTCTGATTATTTTCTTAAGTTTCTTCATTTTTTATCAGGAAGTTTTTACTGTCTTTTAAAGCTTTGCTGCACTGGAGAAATTCAGAGATATGTTTTTGAAACAGCTGATGTGCTACAGAAGCACTTAAAGGGGCTGTGTAGAAAAGTTTGTGTTAACCAATGGTGGTGCTCCCGAGTGGCGCAGTGGTCTAAGGCACTGCATTGCATTGCTAGCTGTGCCACTAGAGATCCTGGTATGAGTCCAGGCTCTGTCGCAGCCGGCCGCGACCGGGAGACCCATGGGCGGTGCACAATTGGTCCAGCGTCGTCCAAGGTAGGGGAGGGTTTGGCCGGCAGGGATGTGGGTTCGTTTCCCACGGGGGGCCAGTATAAAAAAATTAAATAAAAATAAAACAAAAAAACATGTATGCATTCACTAACTGTAAGTCGCTCTGGATAAGAGCGTCTGCTAAATGACTAAAATGTAAATATATTCTCATGTCCATACTACATAGCAATCACTTGATGGGGTGTATATTAGGCACGTACGAAGCACACATGCCTAGGTAACGCTATCAGTGAATCAGAGTTACCGAATAGATAAACAATGAGTAGCCCATAACCTCCCACCTACAGTGCATTCGAAAAGTATTCAGACCCCTTTTTCCACATTTGTCCACATTTTGTTACTTTACAGCCTTATTCTAAAATGGATTAAATAAAAACAAATCCTCATCAATCTACACACAATACCCCATAATGACAAAGCGAAAACAGGTTTTTAGAAACCTGTCTATATAAGGTCCCACAGTTGACAACGCAAGTCAGAGCAAAAACCAAGCCATGAGGTCGAAGGAATTGTAGAGCTCTGAGACAGGATTGTGTCGAAGCACAGATCTGGGGAAGGGTACCAAAACATTTCTGCAGCATTGAAGGTCCCCCATTAGTGGCCTCCATCATTCTTAAATGGACTCTTAGAGCTGGCCGCCCGGCCAAACTGAGCAATCGGGGGTGAAGGGCCTTGGTCAGGGAGGTGACCAAGAACCCGATGGTCACTCTGACAGAGCTCCAGAGTTCCTCTGTGGAGATGGGAGAACCTTCCAGAAGGACAACCATCTCTGCAGCACTCCACCAACAGGCCTTTATGGTAGAGTGGCCAGACGGAAGCCACTCCTCAGTACAAGGCACATGACAGCCCGCTTGGAGTTTGCCAAAAGGCACCTAAAGGACTCAGACCATGAGAAACAATATTCTCTGGTCTGATGAAACCAAGATTGAACTCTTTGGCTTGAATGCCAAGCTTTACGTCTGACTGGGGCAAAGGTTCACCTTCCAACAGGACAACGACCCTAAGCACACAGCCAAGAGAACGCAGGAGTGGCTTCGGGACAAGTCTCTGAATGTCCTTGAGTGGCCCAGCCAGAGCCCGGACTTGAACCCGATCGAACATCTCTGGAGAGACCTGAAAAAAGCTGTGCAGCGACGCTCCCCATCCAACCTGATAGAGCTTGAGAGGATATGCAGAGAAGAATGCGAGAAACTCCCCAAATACAGGTGTGCCAAGCTTGTATTGTCATACTCAAAAAGATTCGAGGCTGTAATCGCTGCCAAAGGTGCTTCAACAAAGTATTGAGTAAAGTGTCTGAATACTAATGTAAATGTGATATTTCTGGGGGGTTTTAAATATAAATGAGCAAACATTTCTAAAAACCTGTTTTTGCTTTGTCATTATGGGGTATTGTGTGTAGATTGATGAGGGAAAAAGTCTGCAACGTAACAAAATGTGGAAAAAGTCAAAGGGTCTGAATACTTTCCGAATGCACTGTACATCATGATTGTTATCTCCTAGAGCTTGAGATCTAGGTCTCAGTGTTTTGGCACACTACCCTTATCTCCAGACAGCAACACCACTTCTCACTAGCCTCGTTTACACCTTGTGCTATCATGTGGTTTTCATTATCCGATCAAGCTGATCCAATTACAATCTGATCAAGTTCTGTCACTTTAACATATGACAATTATTGATGCCTTAAGTCAATGGTGTCACTTGTCAATCATTTTACTGGGCGCTATAATGATGAATTAAATGGTTTCACCCTCTATATCTGTTGACACAATGGACGTCACTAGTTAACACAGCCACAAAGTCAGATTTCCCAGCCACAAAGTAGGAATTGGTTACAAAAGTGAGCTTTTTGGTCTTAATTTAAGGTTAGCCATAATGTTAGCAGTGTGGTTAAGGTTAGGGTTTAGGTTAGGTTTAGGTTGAAAATCTAATTTTATGAAGGTAGAAATGGGCAAGGTTTAGCCATAATTATGACTTTATGGCTGTGTTAACTAGGGATGAGCAGATAGAATGTGTGTCTGACTACCTCTGGAGGTGGTTAAAGGGTATAACTACACTCAATACTTAGATGTGGCTTCTGCTATCAGAATACAATGATTGCATTGAAAAAACTAGTCGGCTGCGTTTACACAGGCAGCCCAATTCTGATATTTTTCCCACTAATTGGTCTTTTGACCAATCATATCAGATCTTTTCATATCAGATCTTATTCAGAGCTGATTTGATTGGTCAAAAGACCAATTTGTGAAAATAATATCATAACTGGGCTGCCTGTGTAAAAGCAGCCGTCTAAAAGTACAAAGGTCTGCATTGAGGTCTGATTGTGTTCAGATCAGGCTGACCCCCTCAGGAGGTCGGGGACGCATTGTGTGTGGCTTTCTCCTCAGTCTGGATACAATCAGGCGACCAAAAGTGCATACAGTGTGCGATGTCATCAACATTCCCACCACAAGTCTTCAGAAACGTGTGTTTTGGGAGTGAGGCACCTTTTTATTATAACGTTGTGGAGCAAATACGTTCCTACCCACTGGGCACAGACGTCAGTTCAACGTCTAGTTTTGATTTACATTTGGTTGAGTTGTCAACTAACGTGAATTCAACGTGAAATCAAACAAAAATGTCACCCTATCATTGGATTTAGGTTAAAAGTTGGGTGAAAAAAATACAAAATGACCTTACTTTGATTACTTTTTGCAAATCCAATCAGTTTTCCACGTTGATTCAACATCATCACATTGCATTTTGAGGTTGAAAGGAGGTGGAAACAACGTTGATTCAAACAGTTTTTGCTCAGTGGGTATCGTGTGAGGAACGTCTTTGCTGGCCTCATAAATGCTAGCTGGCTTATATTTAGAAAAACAAATGTTTGTTTGGCTAGAGTTTTATAGATGGTTATAATAAATAATAACAATGGCTACTGCCATGTTGTTCTGTTATTATACAATTTTGCCTATGCCACCTCATATTTTGCCTATGCCACTGTTCGCAATGCTTACTGGCATTTGAATATAGCGCAGCAAAAGGGAATCCGATTCCAGACACAATGTGGACAAGGCAGACACATTTAAATGTAGGTGTAGATGCATGATGTGTTTATGATTCCATTATCAGAATACAAAAACGGTATTAACTGTCAAGTCTAGACATGGCCAGAAATATCTGATTACAATCAGTTCCCAATGTGTATTTTGATTGTCTACACCTGTCTACAAATGTGGGCACAATCAGGACAAAAGACACATGTTAGCACCAGGTATAAATGGGGCTTCTGTAACACACACAGCTATTGCTGTTCAGCTATGGGACTGGAGACACTGGACAGACTGTAGATGGTTGGAGGGGAATCAAATCATACTGGACCATGAGGGACCCCAGTTTAAGAACTTAGACACTGAAGTGATTGTTTTTTATTTTGAGGAGAGGATGAACTCTACCAGAAGGTGGGATTGTGTTGTTTGATGTCTATTCTGCTCATATGAGGTTTAAACCTATTGTACAGTATGTTCAGATATATTTGATAGAATTATGATTCAATATTTGCATTTGCAGTATTTGAGTAATTAAATGCACAGCATAATTTCTATGTCTATCATATTCTATACAGTAGTTTGAGATTTGGTCAAATAAATCTATGATATAGTTTCTGATAGTTCATTTGTGTTCTAGGATCCTGCCCCTTTATGCTAGAAGGCAAAATGATAAGAGGGTACCAACGAAGAAACGACTATATCAGACCAAGTACATACAAGAAGTTGTGACAGCTGCAGTAGTTATGTCTATGATTATCATTGTGCTGTGGCATATATGGACCCAGGACAAGACATAGATGCCTTGCTATCTTTGAGTTAACTCAATTACAACTGTATCATCAAAGATTCATAAGTGTTACATCTGCTTCAAACATTTCCAGCATGATTCACGTTGCAAAATAAAGAATGTCGGTGAGTGGCGACACCGACAGATACCTGTAAGACAAAGGGGTGATTTAATAAATCCCCAACCTAAACTGTGACTAAGGAATATGAGAACATTGATTAATGATGATGTACCACAGTGCCTGTCACACTGCTGCAACTCAAGGAGCACCATTTCCTCTGAGTTCCCAAGCCCGCAGAGAGGACAGGACACTCAGGACAGGACTGTTCCCCAATGTGATGAATGAAAGGGCTATTTCAAGAGCGAGTTAGTTACACAATGCGGTGGATTATTTGTGGATTTAATAGGACAAGCTGTTTTTCATCAAATGTACTGACTGTAAATACATTGCATCATACTGTACAGTAAGCCATATTTGATAAATAATCTCAAAACTAGAAATAACCAAAGCATAGACTACTTATGTCATTATTTTCCATCCAACCTTGTTATGCGAGTAAAGTACGTCGGATAGAAAATGTCACGCAGGCCTGATGGAGCAGTTAATTTGTACTAAACTTTCCCAATGTCAACGAAAGAAAAAACAATACCCTAGACAAAGTGGGATATTTTTGTGTCGGTAAATTTAATAATGATAGAAATGGCGGTGTAAAGGCCTTTTAGCGCAAATATTGATAGAATAACCATCATATCAAAGTAAACTTGGAGTCGCGCTGACATGGTGTGTGGTCCCCCCACTACCGGAAAGCATGCAGTTCATAACGCCTCGATCACACCGATAGTGCTGTTTGGTCAACATGGTATGCAGCATTATCTGGATATGTGCGCAACAAATGTTCAACATTCACCTTCTGGTACCATTTCTGTCAAGCTGTCTACCCATACAGTTTGACGCATACGTTCGATAAATCCAACGTATGCACCACACAGAACGTACTGCAACTGCCTAGCAGCACAATGCTGCTAGGCACGCAGCATTCCATTGGAAATTAATGAATTTCTGGTGTACCAAAACTCAAAAAACTGTCGGTGTGATCGAGGCGTTAGGCTACAGACGAAATAAATTATGATGAACTTCACAGGGTGGTGGAAATGCACGGTGATGAGATTGATGCTCCTTTCCAATAAATATCGAGGGTCTTATTCTGGTGACATGATGATCGATGCTTGGCTGCCATCTGACAAATATTTTCGCTCATTTGTTCAGAATAATCTCATCATGTAGGCAATACCCGCACTGTATCTGCGAGCTGTGGGCTAGAGCGCACGTGCCAAGGCACCATGGTGGGAACATTCGCTATATAACGCAATTTTGTGTGACAAAACCATCAGTTGAGTTGAAAATGCGATGGCAATCCATTTACATTGATTTTATTCGGTACATGGGAATTTAAACGCAAAAATTATTTTTTATGTGCACTACATCACCACGATCAGCCGTTTATCAGCAACAAGTCAATGTGATTTGATAAAACATCTCTGGTGGGGAAATGTGTTTTATGCAGATTTTAGAATATTTGCATGAAAATCTGTAGCCAATTGGATCGGAACCTAGCTATAGACACAAACCCATGTTGGTCCTCCAACTCTTTACACATCTGTCATTTTCTAACCAGATTCAACATTGCTGATGTGTAAATGAACAGTCATGTAAAAAAAATAAACTTTAATAACATATTCAAGGAGGAAAATATTTGTTTTATGACATTGTGCAACAACATCAATATGAAAAGCTAAACAACAACAAATGATATAACATTAATGGTTCCATTTGCTGCCATGTCTTCTTGCTGAGCTACATGACATCTTTGGTTGCCATCCTGCAGACAACAGCATCCAGTAGACACATATCCTCCTGGGGTGTGGTTTTGTACAGCTGGAGAAAAAAACAAGAGCATGTTGAGTTAGAGTTAGAAACATTTATTAAACTGTCACTCCACAATGATACAATAGTTGACAGTACAAAATACAGATTTTAAAAACCACACTGTGGACTAGTCAAAGAGAGTTGAGACACTAGACAAACATGGTACAATATTTCATTTGGAGTCATTTATAATACATTACATCATCTATACATTATTGGTTTCAGTTATTATTTATTACGTCATCTATACACATGTATGCAGATGCAGTAGATAAAAGGACAACTTCTTCCATTTAAGAATTATGGAGGCCACTGTGTTCTTGGGGACATTCAATGCTGCAGACATTTTTTGGTACCCTTCCCCAGATCTGTGCCTCTACACAATCCTGTCTTGGAGCTCTACGGACAATTCCTTCGACCTCATGGCTTGGTTTTTGCTCTGACATGCACTGTCAAATGTGGGGCCTTATATAGACAGGTGTGTACCTTTCCAAATCATGTCCAATCAATTGAATTTACCACAGGTGCACTCCAATTAAGTTGTAGAAACATCTCAAGGATGATCAATGGAAACAGGATGTACCTGAGCTCAATTTCGAGTCTCATAGCAAAGGGTCTGAATACTTATGTAAATAAGGTATCTTTTTTATTTTTTTTGTTATAAATTTGCAGAAATGTCGTGAAGCCTGTTTTTGCTTTGTCATTATGGGGTATTGTGTGTAGATTGCTGAGGATTTGTATTTATTTAATACATTTTAGAATATGGCTGTAACGTAACAAAATGTGGAAAAAGTCAAGGGGTCTGAAAACTTTATGAAGGCACTGTATATATATTAGTGTGTGTGTGTGTGCCCAGCACTCCAGGGAAAACAAGACTGACAAAGAAAAACAAGACCAACCTTTTTGATCTTAGCAGGGTCGGTCAACATGGAGACATCTTCAACTGGGATCTGTTGTCCATCCACCTTGGCAATGATGTCACTCATGTGCTGCGTCTCCTCTTTGGGATGGACCAGAACTATGAGAACAGCACTGTCACTGTCTGACATTCCAAACCTCTTGAAGGCCTCTGAAATCTAAAGGAAAATATGTGTCAAAGACAATGGGATGGGATATTACTTTGAAAGGTGTGTCAATGTGTGTGTGTGTGATAATTCTAGAGGCTACTTACATTATTAGTGGGTGAAAGGTTGTAGATGATTTCGGAATATAAGCTCCTTGTCTTCATTTTTCCAGTTCTATGTAAATGGACTGCCTTGTTTGCTGCCACTAACACTTGGAAGGTGTTCACTATCTAAAAACAATTCAAATCATCAGTTTGTGGATCATTGCATCAACTTCAGTCAAGCATTCATACATTATATCAAACCAACATGTCTAGCTAGCTAGCAACATTGTCTCACCATAGACGGGTTTATCAAGGCACCATTAATCTTTCCTTCCATGGCATTTTTTCTCAATTCTGCGGGGTTTTTGACATCTTTGAATAGCAACTGAGTTACAGTACGATCAGGAAAGAGTTCCAATTGCTGAGTTGAATACATAACTGAAGAAAAACTAATTACTGGATAAAAAACATTCGAACGTTTCTGTTAGACCATCTCACGTGGTTAAAAAATGAAATACAGAGGGAACAAAAACAAAGTAACACAATTAATCTGAAAGGTTCCGGTTTTACACGAGAAAAAATATGTATGCTGTACCTATAAATTGTCAATACATATTATGAAATAAAATATAATAGATATATACTCGCATTGTACAACAGAGAAGCAATTCAATAATTTGTGAAATGATACTGATAGGAACTTCGAATTTTAAAACAGCTTCCGTACGGACTACCTTTCACTGACGGACCAGTAAACTGTCAAAAAATCTGAACTCTTCCGTTTGCGTTTTAGCTAGATGGAAAGAGCTGTATATTTATTGTAATCTTATTTCAATTTCATGTTTAGTTGACATGAAATTAAACGTTGTATGAGCGTACACCATATATAAGTATCTCATTTTAGATTGATTTCCGCGTTAGTTCGGAATTCGTAGGTGAAGATGGAGAAATTCGAAGGGTACATTTTTACTGCTCTCTGCAGCACCAACTTTTTGGTTTCATGTCTCCTGTTCTCCAAAATAACTCGGGAGCAAAGGGAGCCCTACATGGACGAAATATTTCACGTCCGTCAAGCTCAGAAATACTGCTACGGGAAATTCAACGAGGTATCGTTTTGCTATGTCAATGTCATTTCCTTGATTTTGTTACATTGTTGCTTGTCGGATTAACGCTTGTCCTTAGAATAATGTGACAGATTGCTAGCTAGACCATTTAACCCTTAACTAAGCCATCTGTGACGATGAACACAGACAGATCAGACCCTCGCAAGTCATTATTGTGGATAATATGCCTGAATCCTGAAAAGCATTGTACTTCTGCAGTGGTATATAGCCCAAATGTAACAACCATTTGGCATCTGACTCTATCTTGAATAACATTAACCCTTTTAAGTTCAATGCTGTAGTAGAGGCTCTTTAATGGGATATTTTTCCTTTCTCTTTGTTGTTCCAGTGGGACCCAATGATCACCACGCTTCCTGGCCTGTACCTGGCGTCAGTGGGTGTGATCAAGCCAGTAGTGTGGCTAGTGGACCTCACAGGGAAGGTAGTGTGTTCTACGGCGATGCTGCGCTTCATCAACCTCCTCTTCAACTGTGGCATCCTCTACCTGCTCTATCTCATCATCTGCAAGCTCCACCTTAAAGAGAAGGTAATAATGTTATTAAATGTTATTACATTTATAACATCCCCAAGGGTGGCCAGCTCCTGTTCTGGAAAGCTGCAGTGTGTGCACTGTGCAGACTTTTGCTCCAGTCCAACTTTTACTCACCTTACTCAAATAATGTTGGTATAAATTAAAAGACCTTGAAAAAATGATTGAATGCCCTTAAAGCTTCAAGTGCAGTCCTTTTGTTAGTCATAACAACCGTGGTTTTTCTTTCAGACTAAGACTGCCTCCCGCAGAGTTCTCTCAGCCCTGTCCCTGTCCACCTTTCCTGTGCTCTACTTCTTCAACTTCCTCTACTACACAGACGCCGGATCTACTTTCTTCATCCTCTTCACGTACCTCATGACCCTGTATGGCTGTCACAAAGCCTCGGCACTCCTCGGCATCTTTGCCATATTCTTCCGCCAGACCAACATAATTTGGGTGGCGTTCTGCGCCGGCACGGTGGTGGCCAACAAGATGGACGAAACCTGGAGGACGGAACAGTCGAAGAAGAAGGATGACAAGTCGCCCTGTCAGATACCTTTCTCCGTAAGCGGGGTAAAGAGAGTGATGCGTTTCCTGTTGGAATTCCTGACCACAGCCAATCACGTGAAGGCTGTGATGCTAGTGGCGTGGCCGTACATGCTTGTTGCCGTGGGTTTTTTCGCGTTCATCGTGTTGAATGATGGGATCGTAGTCGGGGACAGAACCAGTCACGAGGCCTGTCTCAACTTCCCTCAGCTCTTCTACTTCTTCTCCTTTGCCCTCTTCTTCTCCATCCCCACGTCACTGTGCTACCACCGAGCTCTCCGCTTCCTCCAGACCCTCAAGAAGCAGCCACTGCTCTACTTACTGATCACAGGACTATGCCTGCTCCTAGTGTGGAAGTTCACCTTCGTACACAAGTACCTCCTGGCCGACAACAGACACTTCCCCTTCTACGTGTGGAATAGGATTTTCCAGAAGCACGAAGCGGTGCGTTTTGCCCTCATCCCAGCATACGTGTTTGCAGCGTGGAACTTCATGGACACTCTGAAGTCCCGGTCGCTGTTCTGGAGCCTGGCGTTCCTGGTGTGTTTGCTGGCGGCCACAGTGCCTCAGAAGCTGCTAGAGTTCAGGTACTTTATTGTTCCGTACCTGCTCTACCGCCTCCACATGCCCCTGCCCACCCTCACCAGACTGGTGCTGGAGTTCCTGCTATATACAGCCGTCAACGCAGCCACGCTCTACATCTTCGTCAACAAGACTTTTCAATGGCCAAATAGTCCAGCTGTACAGAGGTTTATGTGGTAGCCTGACCTGAACAGAAGGAACCCAGTCATTTGGAAAAACCTATAGGTTATACATTTTCTATTTAAAATGAGTAGGGCCAGGAGTTTTTCCTGTTGTGATGAGATCATGCTCAGGAAAAAAAACCTGGCCCTAAATGTGAGAAAATGCATTTCATGTGAAAAAGACTTCGAAGAGCACAAGACGTTTATAATGTACATTTAAACTGTGAATTGTACATTTAATGATGTAATTTGGATGGAGGAAGAGACCAAAAAATTTAAAAGCCATATTGTAAAGCAGGGATCTGTGTATTATACTGTATGGTTTAAATAAACTTTCTTTGTTTTCTGCAAATGAAGAACATTCATGACTTATCTTAATTGAACTATGTGGTAGAGTTATACGTTTTATTTATCCATATTTAATTATAACAGATGGTTAAAGGTTGATAGAGACTAAATGATGTGGCTCGCTTTGTAAACATACAACATCCCTGACTGTATTCAAATAAATAAATTAGTCTGTTATTCCCTATTCTATACTGGGAATAGCATCCATAAACCATGTTAACAAACATCTGTGTTCACATTCTGCTGCAATATTCTGAAGAGTAAAGTTGTGATATACAATGGGTTATAATCAACTTTTTTTCTTTGTACTGTATTTTAGGTTATCTCAATCTTGCCTTCAGCTGCATTCCCTTGAATAATGTTCTTGAACTTCTTTGTGTTTCTTGAGTGTGGTTGGTTGCCCTAAAGTTCCAGAATCCTTCTCTGTCCTTTAGGTCTAAGATATCATCCAGTAGCTTAACTATTCAGTCAATGATTTAATAAACAGTCTTTAACATACAGTACCAGTCAAAAGTTTGGAAACACCTACTCATTCAAGGGTTTTTCTTTATTTGTACTATTTTCTACATTGTAGAATAATAGTGAAGACATCAAAACAATGAAATAACACATGGAATCATGTAGTAACCAAAAAATTGTGAAACAAATCCAAATATATTTTATATTTGAGATTCTTCAAAGTAGCCACACTTTGCCTTGATGACACCTTTGCACACTCTTGGCATTCTCTCAACCAGCTTCATGAGGAATGCTTTTCCAACAGTCTTGAAGGTGTTCTCACATATGCTGAGCACTTGTTGGCTGCTTTTCCTTCACTCTGCGGTCCAATTAATCCCAAACCATCTCAATTGGGTTGAGGTCGGGTGATTGTGGAGGCCAGATCATCTGATGCAGCACTCCATCACTCCTTCTTGGTCAAATAGCATTTACACAGCCTGGAAGTGTGTTTTGGGTCATTGTCCTGTTGAAAAACAAATGATACTCCCACTAAGCGCAAACCAGATGGGATGGCGTATCGCTGCAGAATGCTGTGGTAGCCATGCTGGCTAAGGGTGCCTTCAATTCTAAATAAATCACTGACAGTGTCACCAGCAAAGCACCCCCACACCATCACACCTCCTCCTCCATGCTTCACAGTGGGAACCACACATGCGGAGATCATCCGTTCACCTACTTTGCTGCTCACAAAGACACAGCGGTTGGAACCAAAAATCTCAAATTTGGACTCATCAGACCAAAGGACAGATTTCCACCGGTCTAATGTCCATTGCTTGTGTTTCTTGGCCCAAGCAAGTCTCTTCTTCTTATTGGTGTCCTTTAGTAGTGGTTTCTTTGCAGCAATTCGACCATGAAGGCCTGATTCACGCAGTCTCCTCTGAACAATTTATGTTGAGATGTGTCTGTAACTTGAACTCTGTGAAGCATTTATTTGGGCTGCAATCTGAGGTGCAGTTAACTAATGAACTTATCCTCTGCAGCAGAGGTCACTCTGGGTCTTCCTTTCCTGTGGTGGTCCTCATTAGAGCCAGTTTCATCATAGCGCTTGATGGTTTTTGCGACTGCACTTGAAGAAACTTTAAAAGTTATTGAAATGTTCTGTATTGACTGACCTTCATGTCTTAAAGTAATGATGGACTGTAATTTATCTTTGCTTATTTGAGCTGTTCTTGCCATAATATGGTATTTTATCAAATAGGGCTATCTTCTGTATACCACCCCTACCTTGTCTTAACACAACTGATTGGCTCAAACGCATTAAGAAGGAAATACATTCCACAAATTAACTTTTAAGGAGGCACACCTGTGAATTGAAATGCATTCCAGGTGACTCCCTCATGAAGCTGGTTGAGAGAATGCCAAGAGTGTGCAAAGCTGTCATCAAGGCAAAGGGTGGCTATTTGAAGAATCTGAAATATAAAATATATTTTGATATGTTTAACACTTCTTTGGTTACTACATGATTCCATATGTGTTATTTCATAGTTTTGATGTCTTCACTATTATTCTACAATGTAGAAAATAGTAAAAATAAAGAAAAACCCTTGAATGAGTAGGTGTGTCCAAACTTTTGACTGGTACTGTATGTAGATTCTTCAAATGTAGTGTGTACATTAGCTTCAGAAATGTTTATTTGGTCAGAATTCGATTACTTTTACCTGTATTTTCTACCTGCATCTTTACCTGTCTGTTACTGATCTTTCTTGTCCCTGTATGGCTGTCCCTGGGCTGAAATGATCAAATGAAGTGA